TATCTATCTATCTATCTATCTATCTATCTATCTATCTATCTATCTATCTATCTATCTATCTATCTATCTGTAAGCATATATGTCTGGGTATCTATCTATTTGTCAATCTACTCCTTATTTCCATCTCTCACTCATTTTCTTCTTCTTTGACTGTCTTTCACTTTCTTACCCCTTTATCTTTGTCTCTCACATCCTCCCCTTTATCTTTGTCTCTAACTTTCTTCCTTTTTATCTCGATCTCTCACTTTCTTCATCTTTCCTCTCATTTTCTTCCTCTTTTCTCTCATTTTCTTCCTCTTTTCTCTCTTTTTCTTCCTCTTTTCTCTCATTTTCTTCTTCTTTATATCGGTCTCTCGCTTTCTTTCTCTTTATCTCTGCCTCTCACTTTCATTCGCTTTGACTATCTCTTACTTTCTTCTTCTTTTCTCTCATTTTCTTCTTCTTTATATTGGTCTCTCACTTTCTTCCTCTTTATCTCAGACTCTCATTTTCTTCCTCTTTGAGCCTGTCTTTTACTTTCTTCCTCCTCTCCCTCCTTCTCTCCATCTCTCCCACAGGAAACACGAGAGACCCCCAAGCTGGCGCTGATCCAGGGGAGACTACTACACATGGCGACAGAGAGGAGGAGGGGGAGGAAGAGGAGGAGGCCGGGGAAGAGGACGAATAATCATGATAATAATAAAAAAAATAATTTTAATAATAACAATAATAATAATTTTTACGAAATAATAAATAAATAAATAAATAAACAGCATTTGTTTAGCGCATGCCTCTACTCGAAAGCAAGTTATATGCGCTTTACAGTATATTATTACCCCAGCAGACTATAGAACACTCAGAAACATTCTCAGCTTCCCGGGAAGCATACAGTGCAAGCAGCTGACACGAATACATAAAAGTCGACTTTCACTCCTAAGTCGGGATTTGCTTAACCTAGTACACACATTCCGGGATCTCCAGTCTGCATAGACACACGTGATTCAAGAGTATGGGATGTTTGTTTGAAGAGCTTTTAGAACCACAGGCGCTTCATCTGTTGGGTGTTCGGGGAATGCGATCACCTTAATAGAGTGACAGATTAAGATACAACACAGGACAAAAGGATATAGGGAGTAGAAATAGGACTAGGAAAGTGACGATGGATGGGACACACATTCAGAAAGCCCAGCGGAAACACCACAAGACAGTAACTGCGCTGGAACCCAGAGGGAGCACGAGGCAGGGGTAAGCCATGAGAAAAAAAGGAGGAAATGTGTGGAAAGGGACATGAGAGAAATGAAGCTCACTTGGAACAAGCTTGGAAGGATGGAGCAGGACAGAGATAAATGGAAGGAGCTTGTATGTGGCCTATACCCTGCCAGGGGTGAAAGGCATTGATGATGAAGATGAGGATGATGGTGATGATGATGATGATGATGATGATGATGATGATGATGATGATGATGATGATACAGGAACACCCAAGTCAGTACTTTCCGGTTGGGAAAAATTCTCTCAGAAGTTTATTGACCCTCCTGATATAATATCTGAGATAGTATTTCACTTAGACATTGAACATTGTTCATTACTGCATGGATTGACAAATGAAATTATAGCACTTACAGCGGAATGAAAGGGACAACTTTGATTCTACGTCCAGTATAATATAGTTTATGAGGTAATGCCACAGCTGCTTAATCGAGGAGGACAAACGGTCGCTTTTAAAGACAAGCGGGCTAACCAAGATTTCGGGGGTTTCCAGAAACCTTTACCTACACCAAAAGTGGGCATTGCCCTACCTATAGGAGAATTTTGGTTTCATTGGTATGTGTTTTTTGTTTGGTTACAGAGAAAACTCTTCTTGTCTTTTAAAAAAACTGAACAAGGGGCAGAAACTTTACCTTCGATTTTCTCAAAACAGCAATTTTCGGGATAGCCTCCTTGTGTTTAAAAGCGACCAAACATTAAAATGATAATAATATTGCGAGACAATGTTGCAGTTTGATGAGATGATGTCTTCAGTCATTCACTCCTCGATGTTTTCCTTTGTAATATTTTTCATTCACAACTCTTCCTTTGCGTCAGGAATTTTGGTAAAATCGACAGGGGCCCCTCCAAATATAGAATCAGGAACTTTGACCCCGACACACTCAGGACCCTTGAACTCAAAGAAAAGTCTGGCAAAAGGGATCGGGTGTTTCCCCTCCTTGGGACTGGTCATGTATCGGTGGCGGCCGCTCAAGAACAACCGGAAGACGTTCCCTCCTTCCGGAAGTAGCTCGCCCTTGACGTCAGCCATTGAGAAGGACAGGCTGTTGGCGCCGGTGTCTGACTTCCTTATATGGAGAACGCCCAGCAGGGGGCTGGAGTACGTGCCGTGGTAGTCTGTGAGCGCGAAGTCGCTGGTTTTGGGGGAGAATTGGACATCAGGAAATTCCAGGGGTTCAGCCCAGGGCGAGGGGAACGTGCAGAGAGCGGTCTTGTTGATCCAGGGTTCGAGTCCCAGCAAGAGGTCGGTGGCGTAGTAGGCGAGAGCCTGTGGCAAGGAAAAAAGCACGAAAAAGAAGTAGTTTATTATTATACATGTATGGAATGAGAAATAGTTGATGATTCTGAACCGAATGACGTATTTGTTCTGATGTATCAAGAAATACACAGCAATAAAATCGTCGATCAGACTGCACGTAATGGCTTATTTGATATAATCTAGGACTTGGCAGCTGAGATTCACAAACTGACACCTCCGCATGTAATTGTGTCAAGCGATCGTCAAATTTTGGGCATATGGAGCTATTGGTATCATCTTAAAGCCTGTTTATTTGCCTTGCTTCTAAAGGGGGAAAATACCAGTCAATCTTGAACAGACGTTGAGATATTTGGTCGCTTTTAAGCACAAGGGGGTTATCCCGAAAACTGTAGTTTTGAGAAAATCAAAGGTAAAGTTTTTGGACCCTTGTTCAGTTTCTTTATAAAGATAAGGAAAGTTTTCTCTATAACCAAACAAATTACACCAATGAAACCAAATTTCTCCTTTAGGTAGGTCAAAGCCCACTTTTGGTGTAGGTTAAGACTTCTGGAAACCCCCGAAATCTGGGTTGGCCCGCTTGTCTTTAAAAGCGACCAAATTATCGTTGATTAATAGTACGTAGAAGCGACACAGCCCACCCACGTCTGACAGTTGTGTCACAACGCGGTGGAATCAGGCTCTCGTCAATGTTTAGGCATGTGGAGTTATTATACAATATCATTTTTAGCATGTTCATTTGCCTTCCTTTTGGGGAAAAAAACTATCCATCTATGTGGAAGAGAAGTCGAAATATTTTCGATTGAAGGAGGTCAGGGTCACCTGGTTTCAGACGCAAAATTAGCGAGAAAATGGCGCCAAAGTTTGTTAAGTTCCACAGCTTGAGAGTCATTGAAAACTGACAATTTACATTCTCCCTCCCCCTTTAATCATTGTTTTCCAATAAGTTCCACACAAAAACGTGTTTTAAGTGGACGCAAAAGGCGTTTACCCCTCCCCTCCAAAAAAATTTTAAAAAATAAAATGAAAAATAAAAAAATAAGAAATTAAGAAAAAAATTGCCCCTCGTAAATTTTTTTATAAAAATGCCGATTTCTTTGACGAGCGCCTGATTCCACCACGCTGCCTCACATATAGTGAGTAAATCAGTTCTTGCAAAACGTGCAGTTAGAACCCCGTCGTTCTAAAGATACCACGACAGGACCAACATCAAACAGGTGAAAAAACTTGTTCTGCGTTTACCTGCATGGTGGCCACAGGCATGTCCGAATGTTTCTGACCGTTGGTGGCGATGAAGACGCCCACATTTCTCTCCGGGACCAGCCACATGATGGAGTG